CATGTGCAACGACCTCTGAAATATCGAATGCGTAACAGTATAGTGTAATAGAAAGTACAACACATAACAGTGAACTAACTGCAACGCATAACAAGAGCAAACTGAACGCAATGCAGTAAAACATAACAGTCGGTCCAACACATGACAGTAATGTGCAACAATTAGTTCAACACAAGACTACATTAGTGAATGAAACACACTATAGTTTTGCGGGGCGCGGTGGGCGAGCTGGCTGAGGCGCCAGGCTACTCATCCAGCGAGGTTGAGGTGCCGGGATCGAGCCCACCTGTGACAGGGTGTAAAAACCTCGGAGTCAACTTTGTTTGCAGACTCTTTCCGTGTTGTCACAACCCCTAGAGTAAAGTACACATCCCTGTACACTTAAAGAACCCACGAATCCGTTGGTATATGACCAGATGGTGGCCACATGAATACGTGCAAACACCTAGTTGCGGGTACAGCAGCGTGCTGTGAAGTTGGACAAAGTACTGTGACTATGTGTCTCAGTCCACCCAGCTGTGAATGGGTACCTCGTTAGGATGAGAAAACCACAATTACTCGGTGCGCCTAGTGGCAGCAAGAGTTGTATACTCCCAAGGGAGTTGAGATTGATAATACGATGTGCCGTTTAGATTGACATCCAATGATCGAGGGGAAAACATACCAGCGCCTTGAGCATGCACTAGTTATGCGGATATGTGCGCTTTATAAATGTCCCATAATAACAGTCGACTCTAATAGTAAATGAAACACATACCAGAGGACTCTTAATAGTTATCCACCGTGAATACTCTAATAGTGAATGGAACACATGACTGTAGACTCTAACAGCAGGGGCGTAGCTACCATTATAACAAAAAAAAGCCAGGGCTTACACATGATTGTTGCTAAATAGGTTGGGCAAGCCCTCAATACTATCTAAATATAAAGCTTTGCAACCTATCGGGCTTACCCGAAAATATTGGCGTGCTACGCGCCTGAACAGTAACTAAAACAGTGAAACAGGGGATTGTTTGTCTTGGGATTTAAGTCGACCATTTCAGATTAATGTATATTAATATATATCGCTCATCTCCCACGTAGGAGATAGTAATTACGTATTAGATACTAAGTTCTACGTAGGATATATTAGGTACTACGTAGGAGATAGCATGTCTACGTAGTAGTTACTATGGCCTACGTAGGCGATACTATGTCCTACATAGGACTTACTAACTCCTGCGTAGGGGATACTAAGTTCTACGTAGGAGATACTAAGTTCTACGTAGGAGATACTAAGTACTAAGTCCTACGTAGGAGAATCAAAGTCCAACTACTAAGTGCCTAATAAGGAAAGATAAAAGGTTAGGAGCCTTTAACATTTAGACTAAGTTTGGATATATTGCATTGAATAGTAATATTGGAAAAAATGGTACTGTTTTGGGAAGAATAATTTGTCTTGTCTTTAAGCAGGTAATTCTGGAAGATTTGATACTCTGATATATGAGGATATTTGTTTTGACTTGATATATTTCTTGTAGTTCTTCTTTAAGATACTATTGTGAACAAGACTGGCATTTTGTTATTTGGAAGTTCTGAAACTATCAGGTACGTAAGTCCCAAAACATTCACAGTAAATTTCAACTTTCCGTTTTTTAATCGTAGAATATGTGTAATTTTAATGTATGGCTAGATATATCTTAATTGCTAACAGCTGAGGGGATGATGTAAATCCAGCTAGGGCCCATGCAGGAAGCAAATGTACTGTAAGTCCCCATGGTCCCTAGTGTGGTGATTTACCTTCAGTTGTTGGCAATCTATAGCCTGTTTTTATATTGTATTGTCATTTATAGTTCCAATATTTTAGATTTAATTGCTATTTTTAAATGGATATCTGTGATACACTAGTAGTTTTACTGTTCTTCGTCAACAGGTTTTTTAATGTCCTACTTTATTGATCTATAATATAATTATAAACTGTTCTCGTCACGATATGGCTGAAATATTGCCGATGTGACGATAAATATTAACTCACTCACTCACTCTGAAACTATCATACACTAATTATACGCTTCAGTTCATTTCAGTCCTTTATTTGTTTTCACCGGTCCATTACAGATGCATGTATAAAACATGGGCAGCCCTGGTGCACATTCATAGATGAACAAATATCATTAGATAAACGAACTTGTCCTTGGCTGGGTTTTCCCCCACGTCTATTGGTTAAATCACGTCTTCTCAAATCACTTCACATTACATATGAACAAAACGTGGTACTTTGATATACAAAGACTTTGCCCTGATCAATTTCTAAATTTGACTTTGCCCTGACATATTTCTTCAAGTCCAAAGCAGTTAAATATAATTCAGCTTCAGAAATAGTTTTAAACTGTCTGTAACTTTGGATGTGGTGTTAATACTGTCATGCCATTCTGATGTAAATGGATCCCTCATTCTTTGAGCAAAACCTTCAATAAACAGATTTTTTATTCCACGCCTTGGTTCAGCCACACATAACTAAACCATGTGTACAAAACTATATTTAGTGCATTCATATATTTAAACAACCCACATAATTGGGCTTAACAAACAGGCTTGCCCAGAGGAGATTAAAAGTATTATATATACTCATGCCAATAATGGTTTGTAACCCCCCCACCCCACCCACCCCATTCCCCCCCTCTCCAATTAAACAAATTGAAGGGGGTGACAACCATTATTGGCATGATTATATGTTTTGTAGAATTTTAAACAGCTAAACAGATCAGAATATTTCCTACAGACTGTCTGTTTCATTGTGCCCAGTTAATATAGGCTGTGTACAATTTAACTTTTTCTCTTTAGTAGACGTGGAGATAATAATTTGGAGTAAATATATGTTGTCTATGGTTGAGTAGTCATGACCGAAACCTGCATGTAATTTATGAATAATACTATACAATTCAACCAACCCATATTGTCAATCATTCTTTTCAAAATGTGTGTGAATAATATTTCAAAGACACTTACCAGGGAAATCCCACGGTAATTATTTCGTTATTATTCTGTACCACCTTGCTGTCATACAAAGTGGAGCCGCATGAAATGTTTGTAGTTGTTCACATTGACAAGGCCTTATATAACAAAAAATCATACACGCATGGGAAAAAGTGTCTCAAAACCCCATATGTTTCAAGCATCAATATGTTACCTTCTAGGATTCTTCGATAAAAGATAAAAGGCGCCGAGAGTACTTTATTAGGATATAATACATACAAATCCTTATTTACTGATGGGTCCAAGGATGGTGGCGCGGTGGCATGTGCCACTGTCATTGGATCCCGAACAATATCTTCTCGACTACCAAATAACAGCTCTATTTTCACGGCAGAAGCTAACGCCATATTAACAGCTCTTAAATATATTAATAAACACCGTAAATATAAACAATATATCATCTTTTCAGATTCTCTTTCGTGTCTTCAGGCTATTAAAAACCTTTCTTGCAAACATCCACTTTTATTAGAAATTATTGAATTGTACAATGAACTTGCTACTGGCCAATGCGACATCGTCTTTTGTTGGTTACCCAGCCACGTCGGCATTTCTGGGAACACGATGGCTGATATTGCTGCTAAGGCAGCCCTCAACAAATCTGTGACACCACTTCTTATCCCATACTCTGATTATAAAGCCAGCATTAGAACATACATCCGTGATCTGATGCAAAAGAAGTAGAACACCCAAGTAGGTATTAATAAATTACATGCAATAAAACCCTACATTGGTTACACCTACTTGGGTTGTCAGTCCAGATTTGAAGAGGTCATTATGCGACGATGTCGCATTGGCCATACCAGATATACTCACCAATATTTATTGAAAGGCGAAGATCCTCCGTTTTGTATCCCTTGTGATGAAAGGATCACAGTCAAGCATGTCTTGCTTGACTGCATTGAATATTCCATCATAAGGGATATCTATTTCAAATCCAAAACTCTGAAGGATCTTTTTAATAATGTCAGTTCTCATTTAATTATTGCATTTTAAAAAAATTAGATTTGTTGAGTGATTTTGTAAATAGATATATATGTTATTATTGGTAGTTTAGATTAGCAACTGAGATTGTTAGTGGCTGTATCCTCAAAGGGGGTTGAAGTATTGTAAAATTATTGTCCTCCTGAGAGGGTGCGTAAGTCCCAAAACATTTAGTCAATCTAAGTGTACCTGCTTTTTAATCGTAGAATAAGTGTGTTTTTAATTTATGGCTAGATTTCTCTTCTGTCGCCAATGGCTGAAGGGATGGTGTAAATCCAACTAGGGTCCATGCAGGTAGCAAAAGTAATGTAAGTCCCCATGGTTCCTAGTATAGTGATCTACCTTCAGTTGTTGGCAATCTATAGCCCGTTTTTATATTGTATTGTCTTCGTAAATAAAATAGTTTTACATGTTCATGCTAGTTTTAGACTACATCTGTGATACTCTAGTTATTTTACAGTCCTTCGATGACTGATTCTTTAGCAACTTTAATTTATTATTTATATAAAACATTTCTCGTCACTATATGGCTGAAATGTTGCCGATGTGACGTTAAATATTTGAGACTAAGTCCGAATCGTTTCCATGGAAGCCAAGAAAATAATAAATCACATAAGTATGTAAATAGCAAAAGGCACCACTTAAAGTTCTGTTTCATATATCTACAAAGTTCTGCAGAACAAATATTGAACGGTTTTTGAGTTATGCTCCGGAAACGAAGCCCACCCCTTCCTTTAAGATTAAGTCCAAAACGTTTCCATGGAGCCCGAGAAAAACAAAAATGACATATATCTGTAAATAGCAAAAGGCACCACCTTAGGTTATGTTTGATATATCTTCCAATTTTTGTTGAAAAATATTGAACGGTTTCTGAGTTATGCTCCAAATTGATTACGAACGGACGGACTACGCGTCGACTATATCCCCCGCAATATATGCCGGGGATAAGAGAAGTCTTGAAAATCTATGAAGAAAATCGAGTGAACCGTTCTTGAGATATCTTGCTGACAATCTTATCATGTTGAAAGTGTGTCTTCAAAGTGTCGCCGTGACCTTGGAAATTATGTGAAGGTCACCAAAATCACCAGGGCCCTGCACCTTCCGTAGATAAAGTTTGGTGTTAAATATGAATGGAGTCTTGAAAGCCTATGAAGAAAATCCAGTGAATGGTTCTTGAGATATCTCGCGGGCAAGCTTAACATGCAGGTTAACAAAACTGAAATCTTCAAAGTGTCGCTGTGACCTTGATATCTCTCTGACAAGGGTAAAACGTTAAAGTCCCCTTATGACCTGGAAATGGTCACCAAACCAGACTCGCACCTTTCGCATACTGTCATGAACCTAGGTGCCAAGTATGACAAGAATCTAGTCAACGATTCTGAGATATTTCTGTTCGTACGTACGCACGGACGGACGGAGCCTAATACTATATCCCTCGCTTCGCGCTTAATGCGCGGCGGGGGATAATAATGTAGAGGAGATATTTAACCGTCTTCAAACTGTTGTCACGGCAGCCTGCGTCTTAACGTAGGAGAGCAGGCACGTCACTAGAACAGCACGTCAGTAAGCCCTGGACGAGGATTGTTAACTGAGGTCACCAACACAGTCACTATTCTTTTTGTTTACTTTAAAGATTAATTCCAGTGTGAATCGTTTATCGTGCTGAATTCGAATTTGTTCTTTGCTAAGCTCAAAAATGCCTAATTACTTCACACTATTTGGGGGGCGGTGGGGTAGCCTAGTGGTTAAAGCGTTGGCTCGTCACGCCGAGGATCCGAGTTCGATTCCCCACATGGGCACAATGTGTTAAGCCCATTTCTGGTGTCCCCCGCCGTGATATTGCTGGAATATTGCTAAAAGCGGCGTAAAACTAAACTCAGTCAGTCAGTCAGTCACACTATTTGAGGTCAAAGGTCAATGAGTGCAAAATTCAAAATTTAAAAAAAGTGTTTTTGTTATCATTCCCTATCCATAAAATTAACTCATTTTACAATATATTTAATAATTAAGTTGTCACAGGATTTCGAAATGTTGAATTTCAAGGAAATGCGGAGGGAAAGATTTCGTATTTTGCAAATGTCTTTTATATTGCTTCACATGCATGTCAAGCGTTGGCTCGTCACGCCGAAGACCCGGGTTCGAATCCCTACATGGGTACAATGTATGAAGCCCATTTCTTGTGCCCCCCGTCGTGATATTGCTGAAAGCGGCGTTAAACCATACACACTCTCTCTCTACCCTGATAATGCGTTCTAAAGTGTACAAAAATACAAAATATGTACACGAGGTCTTAGTACGCATTGTAGACAAGAATGATTTAATAGCAGCCGAAGGATGCTATCGCATTGACCGTCTCAGTAAAGTTCTGGGGGATGCCAAAAAGGGCAGAAACTGAGAGCAAATCAGCTGATATGGCCATGGCTTGATTGTGTCAGGAGATACCTCACCGTGCAGAGAATGGACACGTATTTGAATTGTCTGCCGTGTTCAAGAGGTACAAAGAATTAGCAAATGAGTCAGACTTTATCATCCCATCATCATATCTCAGTAGACAGGGGACTTTCAAAGAAACTTTATCAAAGTGCATTGGGGACACTTGTCACTGGTGCACGTTGCTCTGAGACTCCACAGTGATGTCATGTCACATCCGGGATTCAAAGGTTGTGACGTCAGTGAAGAAGCAGAGTTGGCCAGTGTATCTCCTTCTGTACACATGTTTCTGAACATCTTACCTGGTGGCCAAAGTCATGTTGATAATAAGTTTGAAGAAACTGAAGTAGGCGTATCAGATGTTGAACGGGTTGAGAACACAAGGGGATGTCGCACTCATATACGTTTCAAGTAATTATGTACTTAATATGCAAATTTTGTGATCTGAACAGTTTGCCTGGAATATGAATCTGTAAACAAAAGGAAAAGATTCAGCCATGCTTTGCATTTTTTAGCAATAATGCCACTAAATTGTAGCTCTTCATGCAAAAACTAAACATCTTATAATTAACTAGAAATTGGTACTTTTGATCTGTACTGTTGATGTTCAGTGCTGGAGTTTGAATATATATAAAACATCCATATCTCCATTTCCATGGAGTTGATCATGGTGATGCAATGGACATTGATCTTACACAGTATAACAATAGTCATGGTGTGGCCACATCTGCGTGATGCTAACAAGATGTTGAGTACACATCAGACCATTGGCGCGCATTTACATATCTGCTTGTGCTGAAAGAACCCACTCACAAAAAGTCCGTCTGAATAAACTCATATTTCCCAGGGTTGAGTAACGCTCAAATACAATATGCATATGAAATTCATCTTGGACAAAAGATCTTCCCCTTTATGTACAATATTTACACAGTCGTTCAGTGTATGGGACTTCTCCTAAAATCGACTGCAACTTCAAACCTACCACATCTGAAACGAGGCATGCATAGTCTTGGGTGTACAGGAATAGTGAGTGTAAGATACTTTCTACGTTTACCAGTGATTTAAAATGCTTATAATGGAAGGAATCAGATAACTTGTTCACAGAACTACACTATGGTTGTAAGTAAATATATTCACATCTCCCACTAGGGCTTGATATTGCCCTGGTTCTCATACTACGATATATTGCAATAATTTAAGAGATATAGCAATCCATATTGTGATATATTGGCTGGAAGGTGTCTGCCCAAGTGCGTACATCATAACTTCATAATACCTCTCTGTGTGCGACATCATCTTCTTAGTTGCTGTGACACCATACGTTCAGGCTCCCCTTCTCCATTGTGTATTGCTGTATGCCAGTGGTTTACAGATAAATAAAATGAGCCTTAATGTAGAATGTGGAATGTTTAATTGAAGTATTGCAACAAAGTTTTGCGAACATAATGATAAAGGTAGTAGTATAATATGATTTTCATGGTCAGTGTTGTTTTGTCAACAGAATGCAAATATAACAAAAACAAAACACATTTGGCACTTTTAGAGCACATTTTGTTGCTATGGATGTCAAGGGGGGATAATTCAAAGGGTATGATTACGCAATGCCATTCAGAAAGTGGTCAAATGTAACATATGTCATATTTGGGATTACAGTTTCTCAGTAAAATATAACATATGTTACATTTGACAATTTGATACTTTGCCATAGTATCGATGAAAATGCTGTGAGAAAAATTCTAACCACCTATTCTCGGATTTTCTACATTAGAGACATGGCGTTTCACCCAGCAGTGATGCCCGCCATTCGGTAGTGATCGCCGGGGTCAGTGTCGAAGCGTTAGCGCAGCAGACTTTGGGAACCAGGCTGACGGATCTAAACGTTATTAGTTAGCTCATAGTTTCTGGCCAATCGGCTGACAGTTGATTGGTGACGCCATTATCTTTTGCAATAGCCTTCAATGACATGCCAGCATCTTTGAGCAGCTGGGGAGGCCCGATGTTTGCTTTTCAACGAAGAAATTAACTGCTGTTCCAAGTTATCGAGCTGTAAAACAGTTTGTTGAAACATGGTATTTGTTTAATGACACGTACTTGTATTGCATGTGATGTTAGGCGCTAATTGTAGATCGTGCATATCTAAAACCAGTGTATGGTTAGAAGCACAACCTATCATACAATCATAATTATGATATGAATATAGCTATATAGGGTTTAAAAATCACCCGTGTTGCTATACTTGCTCTATGTATGTAAACATCGCAACATCAGTTGTTTGATGAACGAGTTTGAAGTAAGTCACACATCCAATAATGCCGCATATAAGGCTAGTTTGTTAACGGAGGAAAAATCTGTTAAAACTGCTCATAGGTTCTTTCAACTTTTGTCTTGACGATGAAACCTGAAGACATGTGTATTCCTTTTGTACTGAATTCCGAAGTTCCGAGAAGCATACTTCTGGTTCAACACAGGCACCAGCAAATCCCTGTCTAAACAGTTTACCATAATTCTTAATAATCTGTACTCACACTAAATAATAACTCACTCACTCACTCACTGTACTCACACGGAAGGACTTTCTCCATATTCCCCCCAAAATAACTGATATGAAATTGATTCTCAAAAACTCAAAAGATTTTTACAATGTAACCGAGTTGCAACCGGAGTTCAGTTCTGTCTAAACATTGCTTTTTGTCAACGTTGTACACCGCTATCCCACCTGACGAAACTTCATTCCTTGATCCATGGTACATTTGTCAATAAACGTGGTCAACATAAATATATTCACGTATATGTCTTCAGTGGTTCAGAAAAATAGTTACAAATAAATATTTGTTTTCATTTGTAAATAACTGTCCTAAAACTTGACTTAGAACACAATATGTGAAGTGATGGACTTCCTCATCGAAAACACCAATGTAAAATTTGTGGGTAAAAACATTCAGACAAGAAGTCGACATCCCTGTGTGCACCAAATGTGCTCTCCTCCCTGCTGATCTGTTCTTTGTGCATATGGATTTCTGCTTGCGTTAGCAAAGTCAAAATAGGGTAATTTGGCCAAGAAGCTTAACTAAACCGTCAGGTATATCAATGATCTAATATCATTCGACAATTATCAAATAGCCAATTCCCCTCCATCGAACACGTACCCTCTTGAACTTGAAATAAATCAAACAAGCATTGTCACTAAGGTGACATAATACCCCGCCGCAAATTATCAAATCAAACTTAAAAAGTAATGAAAGTGAAGGTCGTAGTTTAAGATGACGTTAAATGTCAACAAAAAACATGACCAGTCAACCTCTCTTGATATCTTGCTCTGTAGTTGTTCAAACACAAAAATATTTTCAAGACATGCTGTGACCAAGCGACCAAAATCGACCCTGCGCCTTCCCCACATGAAGCTTGGTGTCAGATATGAAGAAAATCCAGTGAACGGTTCTTGAGATGTCTCGCTGACAAGGGTAAAACATTAAAGTCCCCTTTTGACCTTGAAATGAAGGTCAAGGTCACCTTTCTCATACTGCGATGAACCTAGGTACCAAATATGAAAAGAATGTAGTCAACGGTTCTTAAGATATTCCAATTCGTACGTATGGACATACGGACGGACGGAGCCTAACACTATATCTCCCGCTTCGCACTAAATACAACAAAACAAACAACAAAACATGACCTGTCAAGCTCTCTTGATATCTTGCTCTGTAGCTGTTTAAACACACAAATATGTTCACGACTTGATCTTGTCATGAATGTCATGGTGTATGAACTAAGGAAAAAAGTAATAAAGGATTTGCTTATCAAAAAAACATCGAAGAGAAGTCTATGTTTGATCATACAAATTTGTCAGTCAAATACAGATTTGGATTTTTCATGTCAGCATTGAACCTTTCACCCAAGTAGATGATAACATGAGCCTGCATACGGGAAAATAGAAACTACATGAATATTAGCATTAGGACACTTGACATTGCTGAGTTTGCTGGGTTACTGCAGTGCAGCCCACACATGGAAGTGGTTTGTGGACAGGTCTAGGGGTGGTGTCCCATACACAGCTGCAGGAGGTGTAGATAAGGTCCAGGTGTCCTCCATGGATGTGAGTTGGCCCACAGACACCAGGAACTGGAGACACGTTGTTCATCAACAACACTTCATCTAACTTGTTGCTGTTGTCCATGTTGAAGTCACCGCACAGGACTGTAGGGAATGAGGACAGGTGTAGCTCAGAGAGTGCTTTGTCCAGGTTTCGAAGAAAGGTTCTCAGTGGTCCTTGCTGACGGTAGACTGTGATGATCAGGTGGTCTTTGTTGTTTATGGAAACTATTGAAGCACACAACTCGAGAGTAGCATTGACATGGACTTGAGCGAGGGCACAGTCTTTAAGGATGAACGTTCCTAATCCATGACCTGACTGATGGAGAATGAGTTGGTGTGAACCAGATCTGTCGTACCTGTCAACTACCGTATCTGTGAGATGTGTTACAGTCATACACAGGACAGTGAGAGAGTTCATAAAGTCTTCAGAGAAAAGATTATCCAGATGGGAATGCAGTGAACGCACATTGAGCGACTGTCTGGTATGGCAGATTTACCGATGAATGGACTTTCTCTGCGGAGTCTCTCCATTTCCAATAGAGCATCTTTGTTTACCTTGATCCTCTGAGAATCAAAACCATCCTGGTGTTGTCCTATCAAAGTTGTGACTCTGCTCAGCATGGTATACACAAGTCCTTGCACAATAGGAGTTCGTTTTTCAGCACTCATGTCACCAACCATACTTTCACATGTGCTCCCTTGAGACTTGTGAACTGTCACAGCCCACGCTAAAACTCCCGGAAACTGTTTTCTTTCCACTGGTATAATTTTTGTTGTTGAGATGAACGACCGAGCAGTGACTGCACGTATAGGTACAAGATCTTTCAGCGGCAGTGGATTACCACGTGTAGCTTGCATACCAGCAGTTGGGTTATCAAACTTGACATAGATGACTCCTGAGAGGGGATCTCTTTGAGGAATGCATAGCTTGATGATGGTTCCATTTACAAGCATGTCCGCAGTTTGGATGTTCCTGGTGAACATGAATCTAGCACCTTCAGCAAGTGTCAGTTGTGATGGCAAATTAGCTGTTTCGTGTATATTAGTTTTTGGCACATACACATAAGTCCTTGTCAAAATATATTTGGAATAGTCTTTAGCATTAATAATTATCCGTTTTCAATCTTTTCAATCATGGAATTATTAAAGTCATCTACGTTCTTTACTGGTTATAAAGACATGAATTGGGTCATTTTCTTTGCATTGTTTGAGTATTTTGATGTGTTCCTCTGCTTTTTGTCCAATGCGAACACGTGAAAGAAGGTCCTTGAATGTTGGATCCCCTTTTTGCCGATTAACATCGGTCAACTCATGCATCTTGAAGTATTTTTGCCAAAAAGATCCATACAATGCTGCATAATCATTTGTAGCTGGCTTGAATACAGGACGGTCCCCCACAGGATTGAGCTGCAATAGGTCACCCACTAACAACATTGACATGCCTCCAAAAGGAACCCTGACCTCAGATATGTGTTGGAGAGCTAGTGATAGGTGTTCCAAAGTTGAACCTCCGACCATTGAAATCTCATCTATGATAATCTGCTTGAGAACTTGAAACAGATTCGTCAGTCTTGCAAGGCGTTCATTGGAGTTTTTTTTAAAATCTTTTGAGAAATGTTGTTTTATTGGTTATGGGAATGCATTGTGTAGTGTAGCTCCTCCTATATGCATTGCTGCTTTGCCAGTTGTGCTGTTAACAGAATTGGTGCCTTTGTAGGATCATCTCCAGACTGACGGAGGGGTCTTAGAACACACTGGTATATGGCATGAATCACATGGCTCTTCCCTGTACCACCTTCACCACTGAGGAAAACATAGAATGGATCTGGAGGCTCAGAACCCAACCTCATTTTCATAGCCCATTCAAGACTGAACTGCAAGAGCATCTTCTGTTTGTTGTTCAAGGAGCAAACAAGAGCATAATATTCAGTGTCAGGAGCCATGGATAAATTTCTCTCTGTTACGAATGGTTCTGGGTTATCATGCCTTTTATTTTGTGGAACATTATCAGGATCAGTTGCAAGAAATGCAGTATCAACTTCATCAGTGTGTTCTTCTAACTCCTGCTCTTTTGCAGCTGCAAGTTCAACCCAAATGTCCTCATGTGCTATTTCAGGTTTAACATCTTCAAGAACATTCTCAACTGCAGTGATGAAAGGCTCATATTGCCTGATAGTTTCAACAATGTTGTCAGACACTTTGAATTTGCTTTCAAAAGTTCCATCTTCATTTCATAGAGAACATTCATCTCCCCAGGGCAGATACAACAGGAGACGGTGGTAATACAGCTCACTATCCTATTCTTTGGATACAAAATGGTACCTCAAGACTGAAGGTTGGCGTCGTTTTCGCATGTGCGCATGTGCCCCAATCCATTCTGAAGGTGAAGGTTGCTTTTCTCATCAATTCGCTCTTTGTCTTTTAAGACTTGCACATATATGAGCAGAGATCGGCAAAGCATGCCCAGATATCTGTGATATATTGAATATCCATGTTGCTCTGGAGAGATCTTAAAATTATTGGGTTATAATTGTTGATCAAGACATCTTGTTGTGTTCTCTTCATTGTAACTGTCGTCTTTTTAGTTCTGATTTTTAGAGCTTTACTGATCCTCTGTAACTCCAGCTTTGTTCAGAAGTTCGCTAAGAGAGACAGTTAACGGAGACTGCAGTGCTTCCGTAACCTTAGTTAGAACAGTTCTTGCTTCTTCAGTGTTGATTTTCTGATTATCTGAGTTGTCTGGTCTTGTGATCAAAGTCTCTGGAGAAGGTGGTTTGGGGTAATTAAATCTACAAGACTTTCTCCTATTTTTCTTGCAAGTACTTGAATGGTGATGAGACTGTCTAGACTGGACAAGGTCATACAGAACTGGATCCGTTTCTCTGTCAGGTAGGCAACAGGAAATAGATGAGTCTATGAAAGATATGACCTCACTGTCTGGTTGGATGTCAAGTCTAGGAAAGTCTTTCACATGGACAGCTGCAAGCCAGTGTGCTGTGCCACGATCCTGCATGTCTATGTGTCTGCCATATGTAAGTACTTGTCCAACAGGATGAGCGCCTGAGAGAATCACTTTGCTCCACACTTGTTCAATTATGAAGTCAATGTGACACGCTGCAGTTACTGGATTCCTTTCCAGCCATGAACATTTGGTTTGCCAAGACATGCCCTTCACAACATCTTCTGAAAAGTTCTGTCCATATTGCTGACCAATTACTTGAATTATCTCAGGCCAATGGAACTCTGCAGCTGATCCTGTTATGAAAAATGTGTAAGGTCCCAAATGTCTTACTTTGGCAAGCACATCCAGCTGCATGGCATGCCAGTACTGTGGGGTTCCTCTAATGGAAAATACTTGATCAATAGACAAAAGACGCCGAAGTCTTCCTGGATCTTTCAATTGCCCAGCATTCATGGGTTCATTGAGTCTCAATCTGTGTGAGATACTGAGGTTACTTCTCAAAGAGAGAGTCTCTAACCAGTGCAAAGATTGGAATATGTACTGTGTGCTCTCTGCAAATCTTCCATCAACAGACAACAACCGGGCATTAATGTACTTTTTGGCAGACAGTGTTGTTTGCCGAATGCTCTCCGGTTTGTTAACTGTATTGGTACCCTTTGGCAAGAGCACAGGGAACGTCATAGCTTCCCACCCTGGTTCCTGTGACAGGGAAATGGTGTGTTTTCCTTCTCCAGGTGCCAGATTCACAATGTCCTGGGATTCAATTTCAGGGCCAAATGTTGGGTGCATACACGTGTTTGTATTGATTTATCTCTTTTTCTGCAAGTCCAATTGTACAACTGATGGATTATCAGCTTCTATCTCATCTTCACTGTCTGTTTCACTTTTCTCTCCATCACTTGCTTGCCTGTCATCTGCATATTCATTGTGATGCTTACTGTCATTGTTTGTCAGTGCAGCCCAGGTTTGGGGATCAGCATCTTCACTCTGTTCCTGCTACAAACCATTGGTGGTGACAGCTCTGTGGGAGAAGGTGTGATCCAACAGGTACTTCAGAGCAGTGTTGAATCTACCTGGATTCATATCCTTGGTTTGCACAGCATGGGCATCTGAAAGTCTCCTTTTCAATGCAAGTGTAATGAGGCCTGCTTGTGGTATTGCACGGGGGAGAAGTGTCATAACTTTATTCAAGTTCGCTGGCACTAAAACGCACTAAAACAACTCATATAAACTGAAACAATCTTCATAAAAGGCATAATCTTTGAAACCATATGTGACTCAATCAAAGATAGGTATTTTAATTCGTTTGGCGTTGGATGTTGGACGATTTCCTTGAGCTTAGGCAGGCACTTTGTCTTTCTTGGTTGCTTTAAGGCATGTTTTACACACCCA